AGAGAGAGAGCACATGCATGGATAGATATATATATATTCAATGTTTTGTAATTATACCATAAGAGAGAGAGCATATGCATGCATGGCTCGAGAGCTCTCTCTCTCTCTCTCTCTCTGTGTCTCTGTCATATTGTAGAAATAGAGAGTGAGGAATGGATCCATTCACAAAAAATGGAAATGGTGCCAAGCATTGGATGTCCAAGCTGAGGCAGTGTACAAGGAAGTATCCTTCCAACCCAGCTTAAGGGTTCCATCCCCCTGAAAGAGAGTGTAGCCATGGGAGGAGGGCAACATGTTGAGCACCAGTTGTGCATGTGAGGCTGTGTTGCTGCTAAGCGGCACCTGTGTGAAATGCTGGCAATTTCGCAGGAGCTCGGCACGCCAGCTGCTGAACTTGACCTCTCCGCTTCGAGCCGGACCCCCGACGGCTAGCACATTTGTGACTTCACGAGAAAGGAGGTCGTGCTCCACCCTGTGTCTGTCGGGATTGTCGTGGGGCAACGACACGGCTAGGGCATCAAACATGGATGAATAGTAGTGTAGGGCCCCGACGAACCGCTCCAGGAAGGGACCCGATCGAGCCATTTCTTGTTCGGCGAGGGTCACCACCTTGGGCGCCAAGTCTTTCAGCATGCTCAAAGCTTTGTGGTCCGAGCCGATCGCGTCGTACGACGAGTGTTGAAGCCAGTGCACTGCCACGGCCTCCGCCCGTCTACCTTGCAGCACGCTCATTTCCACCTCCGAGAACCTCTTAGCCACCGGCTGGAACTCAAAGTGCATGCCGAGCCTCCTCGCAAAGCAAGAAAGCTGTTTTCCGGTCTCCTCCAGGGTGCCTAGGGACACCCCCAGCCCGGTCATCCGGACGTGGGGCGGGCCCCGCACCCTGGTGGCGAGAGCATGGAGCAGCGTCGGCCACTGGGACCCATGCATGATATCGACATCGATGATGTGGACCCGCTCCCGGTCCTCGAAGGCCTCCAGGATTGCCTGGTTCGAGGCCAAGTAAGCAAATTTGACAAATGGTGATACTGTGTGGAAGGTTTGGAAGGCAGCCGTGGTGGCCTTGTATGAGTGCAAGGGTGTGCAGATCCCTAGCCATGAGTTCATGATCCTGCTAGCCATGGCCCTGGCAAAGTAGGCCACCACCCTCTCAGCAGACGATGGTCTGTAGGGAGAGGCAGACTGCCCGAGCTCGAGGGCTATGCTATTCGCCGTCACCAAATCGTCGACTGAGATCGCCACTGCACACTCGAGGAGGTGGGACAGCAACAGCATGCCTTCATCCGAGGACTCGGTGTGCTCTCTCGGGAGATCCTGTGACATATTTTTACAGTGAACCAGAGGATCCGGAGCTTCGGAGAGCTTCCGGATCCGCTTTTTCGGCATGTAATCCTCAGTTATAGTGGATGAGTCATTGCTTGGGAGTGCAAGGGCATCAGATTGAGTGGCCGATGCTTTCTCATGGAGTACAGTGGGTGTGTTATCAGACAGTTGCTTTGCAACTGTGTCGATCCATTCGGAGAGATCGAAGCGCTCCGTGTTCGCATCCAACAGTCCCCGATCACCAACCACCGACCTCGCCAGCTCCTCTGTGGGGAAGCAGTGTGTATTCATGGAGATTCCTGTTGGATTGCACACCCAAGTCTCGTGAGGAAGGAGAAAATCTCCAACAGCTGACTGCACTTCAATGGCTTGGTGGTCCTTCATGGAACATCTGTTTAGGAGACTCATGGCTCAAATTTCAGCAAGGAAAATGAATCAAAGAAAAGGGGGAGAGAAAGGAGAAAAAGGAGGCAATATATGGACTTTGATCCTCCATTTTAATACTCATAACTCACAATTGTTTACATGGAATTGGCCGGCATAGAGAGACAAGTAAATGAAGTTAAATGGCCAAATGCCAAATGCAGCGTCATGTGGGCTTTGATATTATGATTAAGAACTTGGACGGAAAGCTATCTATGAAAAGAAAAGGAAATGTTTATTTAAGAGTATCTACAAAGTCATAAAATATATGGTCCAACAGAGAGTGATGTTGAAAGAAGAACTGCCCCATACCCCATATATATATATATATATATATATAGAGAGAGAGAGAGCGAGGGGGAAAGGAGGGTACTATGCTCCTGCAGGAGCAAATTGTATAGTTACTCTTTTTGGTAAATCTTATAGCTTCACTGACAGTACGGTCCTTAATAGAGAATGCACTATAATTCATGTGACCGACCATAATTAATTAGAAAAAAGCTATGATAATGATGTCTCTTTTGGGTAAATGACCCACTTAAATGT